TTTTTTCATAACTTTATGAAGAACGTTCGTGCTTAAAATTTTCGTTACAACCATTAAATTCTGTAATTTATGAATTCCTTCCCACTTCTCATGTATTTATCAACTGTTCTTTATGAACCTGATATTCCTACAATTATCAGCTGTACTTTATAAATCTGATATGTAGAAACGCAATTTGATTTTATGCATTTCAGTATCAAGTGAAATCTTTAAACTAATCGTTCATTATAACACTTTATGTTGTTTTCATTCAAAGCTGAACTCAGATAATGTGCCGAGGTTGAACTACCAGTAATAGGCGACTTTAGCGCTCGCCCGCTAGAATTTAGAGAGGAACTGAGTGCTAGAATTGGGTTAGGCTCTTTGAATATAGCAAAGCCACGAGGGTGGCAGCAGATAGCAGATGCTTTCGTGGAGGAAGTTTCTGAAGGCTTAGTTTAGTTTATAGCAAAGCTCCCCATACACGTTACACACACGGGGAAGATTATGAAAACGCCCATGTAGCCAGCCCGTTCGCCTTGATTCGAACCCAGGTCGGAACTACCAGTGTTCAGCGATTTCGATTTAACCGCTCGGCCGCGGGTGAGCCTAATTGCTGAAGGAAACTGGGTCGTATTCATGTTGCACAACAGGAAAACAAACCATGCAGCCAGCTGGTTCGCCTGGGATCGAACCGAACCGAAACCAGGTCGAACTTCCAGTAATCAATATTCTTAACCACTCAGCCACTGGCGGCGCGTGGCAGAGAAGTAAGAGCCACAGATATTGTAGTGAGCAGCAAAAAACCTCTAATACTGGCTCTGGTTACTAGTAGAATTATATATTGGTAATAATCCAATCTACAGCAATGAAATTTCGGAGCATAATTGTGAAGTTAAATACGACACTCCGATAAACGTGATAAAGATGAAAAATTTTTAAAAAAGGAAACTTACTATGCAAATACATGTATTCATTAGTAAACATTTTATAAAATTTATTCTTAATTTAGCGTTTATGAATTCTCAGAGAATTATCTCATCGAATTATTTTTTTCTCCTCTGGTAATCCAATATAATTGAGTAAATTTATGTGCTGTTAATATCTTTGCCTGTTATGTACATAGTTTTTTTTTTTTTTTTTTTTTTTCCGTTCAAAGTTAGATAAAACTGAACGTACGTTACACTGAAATTACTTTGTCTAGAAAGTAAGCGCTTGAGTAGAGATGAGTAGAAACAGATGTTGGGTTTTATTTTTAGAAGACATGAGATCGCTTTCTGTAAAGTAATGTTATAAAATTTTGAATTTGAAATAATCGTACTTCGTTTTTAGTAGCGCAGAGAATGATAAAGATTTAATGAGAATATAGCAAAGCATCTTTTTAGAGACGCTGTTATAATTTTGCTATTTTATTTTTTTTATGGTAGGTCAAGGAAAAAGGCAGGCTGCTAAATACGGTAACAGCACATTACTCTGTTTCATATATAGCGAATCCGCTCTGAAATGAGGCACGAAGCGGAGGAGGCACGAAGCGGTAAAGTAGCTGAACACCAGTATTTCGGTCCGAGTTTCGAATCCCGCGAAGGGGACTGGTTGCGCTTTCGTGGTTTTACCCTGTGTAACGTGTCTAGGAGCCAATTTCCCTTAGAAAGTCTTCCACGAAGGCATCCTTTCCCTTAGGCAGATAGATCGTACCGGTGTTATCAACAGTACTGGTTATTTTTAAAAATGATCATCCTAGAAAGGTGATTGCCAAAAAGTATTCACTTCGCATATTTATACGTTATGCATGAATATACTCTTTTTAGTCAATCTAAATATATATAAATTACTAATGCTTAAAAAAAAATTCAATTTTCAATATTCTGTTTCCTATTTGTTCCTGTTCAATGAAACAGATTCATACACAGCAAATCCAAATGCATCGCTACAGGAAGATGATAAACCAGCACAGTACGTAATTACAGTTACATCCGGAAAAGAGTAGATATACATATAAATACATAATATATATATACGGTATACAACGATATACAATATATATATATATATTATCGTTTTTTAGGATGTATCTATAATATGTATCATTTTACTTTATTAAAATATAATATTCAATTTTGTAATTTAGGAATTTCTTCTCCCTTATCATGTATTATCAGCTTGTACTTTATAAACCTGATACCCCTTCAATTATCAGCTATATTTTATAAACCTGAAACATAGAAACGCAATTTGATTTTATGCATTTCAGTATCAAGTGAAATATTAAAACTGATTGTTCATTACACTTTGAATGAACACTTTATGTATTCATTCAAAGCGGATCTCAGATAATGTGCCGCAAATTATTTCCACACTAAGTTTTTTGTGCAAATAATACGTCCTGCTAGTGTTTTTGTAATAAAATGCATGTTATTAATTGATTTCGAATTTTCGTTGCATCTTGATATTGCTGCCAAAAGATATTCAATCAACAATAGTATCTTTTACTACGTTTATGTGTGTGGATACATAGACCATTTCTCCGTGTACTAGAAAAATTTGATAATGATTTATCCACTTTTGAAGTAAAAAAAAATAATAGTTAGGAGTGTTATACGATTTTATAATACAAGTAAAAAATATATATAAAGCTCTGGAAAGTGCTAACACATATTTATGGATATTTATGGAATATTATGGATGGTAATTTATGAAATGTTATGGATGGATGAGTAAATGGAATATTATGTGCGTGCTATATATGTATACACATATCATCAAGTATAAAATCATTTATATATAATTTTTATGTTCGCAATGAAATTACCGAAATGCTTAAAAATCTAGTATTTTTAAAAACTATTTTCTTCCGCAAAATAAACGGCAAATTATGAAACATTACGCAACATTGAAAAGCGTGATGAACAAATTTTGCGAAAAGAAAATAGCGACTGCTGCACGTATCTCACAGATATCTTTCATTCAACACAAAGGTGGAAAAAGTTCTATTCCTGTTCAAAACATACCCTGCAGTCTGAGTCACAGACGGAAGAAATGACAGCAGGTCTTTTGTTCAACTGAGGGGATGTGTTTTATGGCTTACTCACTTTCCCGCCAAACGAGTACAGAGGAAGGAAGCCTCGTTGCCATAGTAACCAGGCTGTAGGTAGTCTTACAGATTTGAGTCTTTATCGCTCAACGTTCGTAGCGCCATCTGTTAATAAAAATGGACATGAGAAAGGGGTATTAAACGCTCTTAAACCAGAGATAATGTCTTAACTGCCACTGATCTTATAATTGCATCTACCCATTTCAATATGAATGTGTATGCTTCACATAGTGCAAAGTTCGTCTAAACTGAATCTTCCAATGTATTTGTATACTTTTTTTCTTTGATTATGATTTTAAAGAATGCCGTTGGCCTGTGGCGGCAGCTAGAGTAGTGCATCCTTTTCCGCTGTGGGAGCTACAATCCCGTTAGGTTAACCCTTAGATAGGGAGCTCTCACAGTGACGTTAAAGTCACCTTGGGATGACGGAAGTATTTTTAACCATGAGGCCGATAATTATCGGCCAGAAGGGTTACAGCACACTCGTATATAACAGTTCTAAACAGGCTGAACGACGTCTTAGTTCGGCTTCGTAAGTCATAGAACTCTAAGCCCAAAGTTCGTTCATTACGACAGGTTAGCTCCTTAATATGGCCATAGTACGTAGTGTATATAATTGTAAATAGGCCTTTTTGTTTTCAAATGGACTGTGGTCCTTTTCATTTCTAAATTTGCATTTGATTTTATCTGTACTTAGTATAGTTATCGTAATGTTTATTATTGCATTGATGCCTTAGTTGTAGTTTGGCTTCCTGTCCCGGGATTGTACTGCACAGGACGCGCAGTCCTTGAGAATTGAGCAGTGTTACGGATTTTGTATTTAGTTAGCTATTTCTACTAGAATTATAATTAAAATAGTTTTATATTTCCGTGCAATGCAGTACATGACATATTTTAAAAGAAAACTATGCCGGAAAAGTGAAAAAAAAATATAACAGCACGCGCATTTAACATTTAATAAATAGATATCTCGTAATGCGTATTTAAATTGAATAAAATGAAATTGACTACTGTGTTAGCTGTGACCGTAATTCTACTCTTTTGCTTTCCAGAAACCACAGAAATTACCAGAACCTTCTCGTGACTGACTAAAAAGCTTTAAAAAGCCGCAGAGAAACGTCTTAGTTCAATTGCTTACTTAATTGTTGATTGTCGCGAATTCGCGGTAAGATCGGATTAGCTTTCTCTGCGCTGTGGATTGCATACTATTTAACGTTTTAGTAGTTTAAAATAAAGCTACTGATTATATTGCGTGATATTGTGATTTCGTAGGAATATCTTTGAGGAAAAATCCAGCGTTTTTGTTATATTTCTTGTAATAAGTTTTACGAACCCATACGCACGCAACAATATTTTCATTCTTAATCACTAAAAATCACTTGCCACTCTTTTCTCTTAAAAAAAAAAAAAAAAAAAATGCACAGAACTTTCTTAATTGAGAATTAAGACTACTTCAAAGCTTTCCACATTCATCAAATCTGAAAACCTCCAATGATGTACTTAAATCCTATTCTGTATTTTAAAAGAAGTTCAAATGCCTTCTTTCTTACTTTTTCCTCCATAAAGAAAAGAGAGCAGCGATGAATTCTAGGGAAGTGCAAAACTTAATGCCAATCTAAGATTGAATATTCTAATTCAAAACTGGCAGGCCTTTTTACCTGTAATTATGTTTTCATGCATTTTACATTCATTAGCCTTCTTGAAAACAATGCACTGTATTTTAAAAGAAGTTCAAATGCCTTCTTTCTTACTTTTTCCTGATGAATTCTAGGGAAGTGCAAAACTTAATGCCAATCTAAGATTGAATATTCTAATTCAAAACTGGCAGGCCTTTTTACCTGTAATTATGTTTTCATGCATTTTACATTCATTAGCCTTCTTGAAAACAATGCAAATTTTAGAAATAAAATATCACACAACAAGATATTAGAATGTTTTTTAATAATTACCACCAATAAATAACAACATAAACTTCAAATTTAAAAAAAAAATCCAAAACTACAAATGTATCAAAATATTTAACATATCAATTAATAAAAATAATTATTCTCAGATCATCTAAAATACACGGCACACGTAGGAGGCACAACAGTATTTGCATTTTCTACTGTTAGAAGCTTATTTTTAATATCAGATACTTTATGTTCAAAACTTATTGAAAAGGGAAACTGCTCAAATAGCACTTTAGAAAACATTAAGACAAAGTCTACAACTGTATCCATCTGGCATTTAATGTATTTAATAAACATATCGCCTAAAAATTTATGTAATTTTACATAACTAAGCTAAAAATTTTTATTTATTATTTCACCTTTTTTCCCTCAAATATAATGTAATTTATACATTTACACAATTACATTTAAAAGAAGACTAGCAAAGATGAACAAAAATTTTTTATTTATAAATGATGTTTAACCCAAATACATTCTGAAGAATTAATTATTAAATATAATAAATGATTTTCATTAATTAAAAAAACAGACTATCTTCATTGTATTAAGATAACTTTCATTAAATAATTCATTAATTGTACAATTAAGATTTTCATTGCATTTGGTAAATTTTTCTCAATTTGTTTAATATAACAGACTGTGGTTGATTATAAAAATTCAATACACGTAAAAATCTACATTGCTAATTTCATTATAATGCAAAAGGAAGAACTTTAAAACTACGATATACCATGTAAATTATAGGTTTAACATAAGTTACATATTTGTATGACTACAGATATGTAACTTATGTAACTTATCTAATACACGTAAAAAAAGATAAAAAATAAACTAAAAAGGTACTAAATAATGATCAACAGAATAATATATAATGCAATATCAGGAAAAAGTGCCACGCATTTTAATAGAATTTGCAACTACTGAATTATTTCTATTTTGAAGTGCTCTGAAGTTTGATATGAAAAATATATTAATTTAAAATTAATATAAGATATCTTACTAAACAAAAGTTGGATACGAATACAAAATATTTTTAGCAGATTCACATCCTAGATGTCTGTCTGCATTATATAAAAGCTATTCCATTTGTGATCTATTAGATAATTATTACGCACCATTTTCAATATCTGAAATTTTATCACAACTTTTTTTACTCTTGGCTATGCTAGCAACAGATGCAAGGATAATAGTAGGGAATTCTTGAATATCAAGCAGTATAATAAGCCACTAATTTTTTGACAATCTTGATGACCAAATAAAAAATTGCAGATTCAGCACTAAGCATTAATCAGGTTTCTTTTGGGGGTGAAGCGAGAGGTGTCACTACTTTTTGTTCATATACATTTAAAATGAATTTATTTTTAAAAGATCATAATTCAAATTTTCATCTAAATTGCTCCCCCTTTTTTTTTCTTTTTTTCCTGGGGGGGCAGGATGTTTGATTTTTATGCTCAATGTCCTAAATTATCAACCAGAATATTTTAACTTAAAAAAAGTCAGTTTTAAATTCACATAATTTTCAGACAAATTCCAATTTGTGTAATTTTTCAGGTGAAGGTGTCACAGCAAACGCATGATTCACGAATGCAAATTTATTACAAGCATTATACCTTGTAACAAATTTACATTTTACAAGAACTTCAGTACCCAATACAAGAAATTTACTCTCTTACTACTGCAACCAGGATTTGGATGGCAAAATACCACAGATCACAGAGTCATTAAGTATTATTAGCTCATGTGATAGCAATAAAGAAAACAACAGTATTCTGTAGCTCAACCATATAATATTTAGGATAATGATTAAAAGTAAGTTTTCACTTTTTAAGACACAGATTAAAGTTCTTAATTCGAAAAGGAAAGGAAATTTTACTCAGCATTCTTAAAGGCACTGTATAGACTTTCAATGAAAAACAGCAGAATAATTTTAATCCTCTTATATAGGTTATATAGAATAGTTTTAATCCTCTTATATAGGTTATATAGTAAACCAATTCAGAGGTTAAAAATAAATTACATTTTGCTAGATTCTTTAAAACCTAGACCAATTTTACCTAGAAACTGATCAATTTCAGCAAGATATTCATCTTCATGCTTGTAAAAATGACTGACATGTTTTGAATCTTTCCAGCATTTCATTTTTGTATCAATTCCCCTCACCTGCCAGTTTTCAATAACTAACTGATTTGCAAGAGGGCTGCCAACTTTATCAGCTTCCGAAACAAAGAATAAAGCAGGACATCTTAAAGGAGTATTATGAAAATTTTTAGATGATCTGAGATAATGCTTTGTTGCTACATTATACACGAGAGCTAAATGACATGAAACATACCATTCGAGTGCTTTAATAGTTATGGGATTTTTAGATATTGCTCTAGGAAAACCAGTCGGTATTCCTTCCACATCCACAGCACTATCAAGAATGACGCCCGCTATTCGTGAACTCAGACCTTTATATTTTTCAGCATTGTCTCGCATTTTCACAAACATTTCTCCCATTAAATAGCCACCCACAGAAAATGCATGCATGATGACTTTGTTATATTTTTCATGTGAGACAAGATAATCCAAAATGTTGGCTGCAGTTACTTGACAACCAGAAACTGGAAAGAGCATATCCTTTGGATTTATGTCGACTGTCAGTACATCAAAGCCTCGTTTCAAGTAAATGGAACGGTATTTAGCAATGTGACTTTCTTTAGCTAACATCCATGCAAGAATTACTGCTAATGGCTTCTTAGATTTATCATCCTCTTCAACTGTATTCAAATGGAGGTTTTTGCCTACATTTTGAGTATGCAACTTCCGTACAGCTGGTTGTAAAGTCATAAGTGGCGATATGATCTATAATAAAATTAAAATATTACTCTTTGAGTATAATCTGGGTCTGAAACACAATAAAAACAAAGGCAAGAAATTTTCAAGAAAGAAAATAAATGCAACAATATTCATTTTTGTAAAAAACATTTATACTTTTAGTACATATTTTACATGAATAATACATTCAGAATATTAATAATTAAGAAAAATTCTTAGTTAAACTTATTTCCCTTTAGTTAAAAAATAGAATGCATTTAACTAACATAAGAAAAAATCTTCTTTTCTAAAAATATTATCTGAACAAAGTCCTATATTCAGTAATTCATAATAAAAAAAAATATTAGTTTAGCACTGCTGATTTATATTCACTAGCACTTTGTTAATTATTTCAAGTAATTTATTTAATTGCAACCTTATTATAAAGTACAATTTATTATACATTAAATTAATATTTTATTATAAATAAAATTTTGAAAATAAAATATAAAAGAATTTTGCAAAAAAATTTCACAATATCCTTTCATACTTGATATTTTAAAAAGCTCCCCAATATTTCTGCACTATATAATTCTACCAAGAAAGACATTTTTTATTGCTTCTATAAAAGAATGAGAAAAAATCTGAATACTTACTCAGCGGAGGGGGGGAGATGGGAGATTAGTAAATAAAAATTCTATATTTTTAATACACATAATTCTTTAACATTAGCCAAGCCAAAGGAAATATTTAATATTTTATATTATTTTCTTTACACTTAATGTTACCAAGATTTTTAATTTAAAATACACAAAATAATGCACATTGTATTTAAAGTAGTCAAACATTTTCTCAAAAAGTTATGAAAATTTATTTAATTTTTTTTTTTTTAAACTCTAAATTCAACTCCTTGTATTCCATAAAGTATACCACGAAGCTTACACAAATAACTTATAGCATAAATAAAATAAAATAAATTTCAACAGCACTAAAATATGGTCACACACTCAAATTTTAGTTACTTATTCAATTATTTTTATTGGACACTGATAATGAAAACTTCAGCTGAAATTCTTGCCATACTAAATACTCTGCACTATTAAATGAAAAAATAATATTGGGGCACTAACAATGGTAATCTATAATGTGTAAAAAAAAGTTCATTTATTCTTGTTTTGTCAGTATCAGTGATTATTGTCATTTCAACAAAAATACTTTAAAGCCATAAACCAGACTTCCATTGAATATTAATTCAACTGCTGCCTGATAAAGGATTTCATTATAGTTTCAAGATCATCAAACAGATAAACTAGGGGAGAGTCATTTAGGCTCTAAGCTATAACTTTCTCTGTAATAACAAATTTATGTAACCGCTGCAAGCAATTTCAAAAACTAAAATAAAGCAATAAGTAATCTAAATTGAAACAAATGAAACTAAGCTAAAACAAACAAATTTTTTTAAAAATTTAAATCTTAAAATCTGTATAAGACTTAGCATAGCACCTGCAGGTTATTATACTCACTGGTTAATAAAATCGGCTGCTTATTACGTTCAGACTTAAAAAAAAAAAAAAAAAAAAAAGTGCCCACCGCTTATTAAATTCACTTGTTAATAAAACTCAGCAGCTTATTGCATTCAAATTTCTAGTAGGCATAATGAATATATACTAATCAACAGAAAAACCACCTTTTATAAAACTGCTGAAAGTCTGATTATTCACATCCGGAGTATACTGCTTGTGGCCGATAAAAGCTGTTTTTAGTTCATTCATTTATCTTTAAGTTATGTAGTACTTCAATAAAACTGGTTTACTAGGGGAGGGGAAGCTGCAGATATGAGACTTTGGCATGAAACTGATGATAGATTAATAGTAAAATTTAGAAAAGATGATTTTTTAATACAAATTCAAACTTTTGTGCACATACAACTTCCTTAGCATGGGCATTTCTTAAAATATGAACTGTTGATTGAAGGAACATAACTATTTTAAAAGCGGCCTTCAAACTATATTTTGAAGAATCTTTGGGAAAAACAACTTCTACAGAGGCTCAATAAGTAAAAATCACAATTGAAAGAATCTTTTTAATACAATATTGGCCACAAAATTAAATATCTAACCTAATAATATATTTTTCATACATTATTTGACACAAAACATTTTACAGTTTCAAATGACTCTGATATACCTTTACCTGACAACAAAGAAAAACCCTTAAAGATAGATTTTAGACAATGATCTTCCAGAAATTTATTTTTTGATTTGCTTTTATTTTTATAGATAAACTCTATGCCTTTGGTAATTAAAAATAAATAAATAAAATAAACATAAAGCAAAATGGAGAAGAGCATTAAATTTCTCAAGCTGTGATTTAATGTACCCCTGCCTTATATGAATGTGTAAGTGTGTAATTTTGATTACACCTTTATACACTCACATAAGATAAAGATACTAAATTTTGATCTCAAAGATAAATATCATTCTGTTGGTGAAAGAAATGAGTATATTCTCAGATTATTGAAAAAAGTTTGATCAGTGTAAAAGGGTTATTCTAATGAAAACATTCTATGATTTGCTGTGAATGCTTTACTTAGATCATGAACGACTATAAAGTCTTAGTTCTTAATGATCTTTCTAATATAGCTTTTACCCAATAAAAGAATAATAATGCTAAACAATTTAACCTCAGCCCATATTATGTACAATGGAAGAAGGATCTGAGAAACTTCTAAAGATGTTTCAGCTGTCTTTAAAAAAAAACTGCACAAAGTAAGGCATAAATATGGTAGAAATTTATTGATGACAATGACTTAAACTTTATTACTTTACTTACTATTTATTTATGACTTACTTTATTATTTAATAATGATAAAAATTCATTATTTTACTGTTTTTCTACGGTAAATTTTTCTATGGTACCATAGATATAACACAATAATATATTCAAGAAAATTTTATATTTATTATTACTTTTATTTAACACACACATAAAATACTTACTTAATCACAAAATAAAAGTGATTTTTGAAGTATATATATGTCATATTTTTAATGCATAGAAAAGAAAACACTGGAATGCCGTCATGGCTTATGGTCAAGGCACACAGATGAAGATGACGAAACTGGTTTTTCCTAAATCACCAGTTTTTATTCTCACACATATACAATTAGTTTGGTAGATACTAATTCAATCATAATTAAATACGATAAATTTCGGTACTTGGCAACATCTGCCGATAAAAATTTTCATTGCCGTTTTTTGGTTTATGTTTATAAATTCTTTTAAAAATAAAAGCTATAATTATAAAGGAACAAAAACTTAAAAACCAAAAATTCCAAATATATATATACATATTATAAACCCAATCAATAAGTGTCTTATCGCATAAATCCAACTGATGTTTGCACCATTTAACGGACACTGTTCATATGCCCAAAAGTAAATAAATCTTAAAGCTTTTAAAAATTCAATATGATTGTTTTCAAACCACGTACCAGTTTGGACACCAAACTTTTGTTGACAATTTTTGACATTGCATTTCCAATAAAGTCCTGAATTATAAAACTTGATACCATGGCTGTTTTTACAAACATTTTTATTGGGTAAAATTACAGCCACTCTGAAAAATTCTATCACTTCTTCTTTGTTTGAAGGAAGTTCGAAAATGTTGATATCCATTAGGAAAAAAAATAATCACAAAAAGTTTTACGTGTTTAATCTAAACGTAATAATTAGCGTAAATGTAGCAAAAAAAGGTGTGGTAATAGTAAGTGTGGGACTAGTGGGGGGTAGCACTCTTTATTTTAGCACCCTCTATAACCTATGTTAGAATTAACCTGTATAACCTACAAGAGTCGCCAGTATTGGCGAGATATCTAGGTAGTCGTCATAGTACGTAAATACCTAAATTTTGATGTACATTGGATTTTTTAAAAGAAATGACACAGGCTTTTGAAAAGTGAAGCAGTGAAAATATGTTAGCTGTAAATAATTCACCAGCGGTATTTATACTAAGTCTGATGTAATTGAAGAGACAAGCTATGATTGGTTAATTTGAGGTTGTTACATAACATAGAAAGATCTCGAATTTGGGAGAACAGATGAATTTAGGGGAAAGCACTAAATCTAGAATCGTCAATTTTGAGGTTGCCAATTATTTTTGAAGCAGCTATTGTATTTTCTTGTATCTTACATATATATAAATATATATTACTTTAAGAAAAAGCAGTGATAAATTCACATTTGAAATTCCATAATGTATTTTTTTTGTTAGAAATCATAACACGTGTCTTACATAGCCTTCTAATGCATAATCACTTAAATCAAATAAAATGCATAATTACACACAACATGCAAGGGAGTTTTACTAAAAAATAAAAGCCTTGAAACAATTTTTGGATAATGTAAAGTCATTTCTCATTAGCTCCAAAACAAAATATGTTAATAGTGGTTGATAAGGTCGTGCAATCATACCTTTTAAATATTAGGCATAATTGCGCCTCTTCCAGCAAAACTCTAGTTACCCACTAGTCAACCATACTGTTTCACATCATGGTCATCACCCTGTAATATTTATGAGGAAGACCACAAAGAGAATATGATTCAGTCCTTAAAATGCAAAGAATGGATACACAACTTATGTGCTGGAATTGATAAGAAAATGAAAAAATATCTTTGTGATAATTGTTGTAATTAATTATATAAATAAATTGACAGAAAGTTTTATTATAACTGTACAATTTGACCTATAGGTGGTACGACTTAGAATACTGAATGTCTAAGTCATATTACATTTGTTTCATAAATTTTATCTATGAGAGTAGAGCATGGAGCTTTATTGTAATAAATGTCAGCAACAACAACAAAAGAAGATATTTATTACCACACATAATTTTTATTTTTTTCACATAGATCCTATACTCTATATCTATTTTTATTGGAGGACACAACTTACACAACCTTACCCTAGTTTTATATACAGATGATTTTTGTTTAATTGGTAAATATTCCTTTTTTAAAGTGCTGAATTTCAGCCTTAGCTTGGTCTTAATTTTGAATTAAAACATTCAGTGCATTCCAAGAGGCATTTTGATCTGATGTTCAACACTGTAGGAAATAAAACATTTTTATTCCCTACAGTGTTGGGAATTTTAACTAAGGCCTGATAATATGTGTAGTCTGCTTCTAGTAGAAATTATACAATATACAGCAGCAAAAATAAATGTCAGAAATCCTTTTGGTTTAAAACATTTGTGAAAGAACTTTTTAATAGAATCAACAAAACACCTCACATTGTTCACGATGTCTCTGCAAAACCAAATTTTCATTTTACTTTCAGGAATAATAGTAAAATGTACAAATGAAACTATATTGTAGCATTGCCGAGTTACAAGATAAAAAATAATACTGTAATTTTTATAGAACAGATGTACATTTTGATTAAATGTGATAATGAAAATTTACTTTAGCAACAAAACTATGAGTACTTAAAGAGATTGATTTTACCAGATACTTCTTGTTCCTTAAGTTTTTAATTCATGTCAGCAATTTATAATTAAATATCAAATTACAGAAATACTTCCACACTCTTTGATGTTTCTTTCTTATTTAAACAACTATATAAGCAGAAAAATATAAATGAATTAATAAAAACTATTTGTTAAAAAACTATATTTTAATTATTCATGAAAATCACAAAATGCCAATTCTGAAATTTTCAGAATTCCAGCAGTTTACAGCAATAGTTTCAGTTTCGTTTTGTATTAAATATTTGAGATGGTTATAGAAAAATAATCAGTCAAACAGAAATCTTAATCAGAAAGGTTAAAAATAATATTATGCATAAATAATTAAGATGTTTGAATCTTAATCCTGATATTAACAGCTTTTAGTAATTAAATAAAAAAACATATCAAACTCTCACACTGCAAAATGTTCAACTTATTTGTTTATCAAAAGAATAAAGATTTCGCCACAAGACATTAGTTTTCTAAGATAAAATACTGGAATTTAATTACAAATCCGGTGATACAAAATAATAATAATAATTTGTTTTAAAATAGATATGCATAAAAACCTTATAAAATGGATAGACATCTTTATCTGTATTTGATTTCAGGGTAGACACAATGTGGTACTGTCGTAGGAAATGAGACATTTCTTCTAGAATAAATTAACCGCACACAAGTTGAGGATGTCTGGAAGAAAATATCAATCTTGAATATGGGTTAGCGTACAAAATAAAAAAGGTAATTCAATACAATCGTAAATCGGTACAAGTATTACCACAAAAGAAACCCTATTAAAGGGAAATTTAATTACAGCCGGCACCCGTACAAGCACACACTTTCAATTCTCCAATAAAAATCAATCCCCAGTTCAATAACTATAGGTTTGTAGACATTTAAATCTGTGTGTTATGGTAACGTCTTTTAGCCTTGCATCGGAGGGGAGGGGATGAAGGGGAAGAATTCGACAGAAAATACTGGCAACAGAGCCACATGCAATAAATTTCAGCATCATGACAAAAGCTCGCATGAAAAAGGGTAGAACTTCCTTATTGTGGTGGCCCCCACAATCGCTAATTCAACCAAGATGTAACATGCAACGAGATATTAGAACGTGTGGCGAGATTTCGGCGAGATATCTCGACTAATTAGCCATTCAATCTTGGGGGTACTCAATCTTAAGTATCAACGCCTGTACAGAAGAACATGAAGAATGTCTGATGAAAAGAGAATTTATCTTTTCTAAAAAAAAAAAAAAGAAAAGAAAAGAAAGGATTGGAAATAAAGGTTAGAAAAAGAACAGAATTGTGTATTTTATGTGAAATCATATATCTATGGGACTATCTATTGTCGATGTAAGTTCTCATTTGTGTGGACGTTTTCCTCATTTTTTTTTTTTTTTTTTTTTTTTTTTTTTTTTCCGTATGAGCTTTTTTGTGAGAATCAATAAAAGCCCATTTGCATTAGATAGAATAAAACAAATAAACAGATTAAGCGATAATATTATTCAAATTATCAGAGAGAAATATTTCCTCAGCACATGATAATGTTCTATTAGAAAGTCTTCAAGCGAAGCCGAGCATGTTTCTTGAGTTCATATTTTCATTAATATAAACCTATTTTGCCAGGATGAATTAATATTTGATTTTTCTTATACGAATTTGTATACTATCATTCAAACTTTTTTAGCGTCTACTGTAAGGTGCTGCTCACCCTTTTTGGAGTTTGATGCTAAGATCTTTGGAAAACCAGATTAGTCCGGCTTACGCAAGGAGGTTCTAACCTCCTTGGGCTTACGAAGCTTTTGACTTTAAGACTCTTTTTAAAAGTAGCTGCTTAAAATTTTAGTGAAACATATTTCCGAGAAATTGGTCAGCAAAGCGACAGCTTGATGATGTTCAAAACTATTATTAGTCCAAAGGGGCTTTGTCCCTGAAGGACTATTGTTTTCGTTTTGCGATTTTGCGTCGGACTCATAAACGTCGGTTCACTTTTCAAACTGTTGCCACAAAATGTTAGAGTCCTGCATTATATTTGAAGAAATTAAATAATGAAAAATCTGCATAAATGATTGTCTATTTCTCGCATTGTGATAAAACAATGGTACATAGAGCCATCGAATTTTGAATGACGAAATCCTACTGCGAATATGGGCATCTGAAATCCCAAATTTGGAATTTGTTTTATTATAGATTTTATATTTTGTAAAACTTTAACGAATTTTTGATTTACAAACTCAATGCTTTAAAAGCGAGAAATGGCAACGTTATATAGAAAAAAAAAAAATACTTTTATTTCCAGCTCGCGAGACTGTGTATATCGGAAATTCTAAAGATATTCTTAATTTAACATTATTTTGCGATATTGCTCTTGAACTGAATTTTATGGTTTAAGTGCAAAGAACATGATATTTAATAAATAAAGGTAACACTCAAAACGTTAAAAAAACGCCCCTTTGGACGTAATTTAAAATCTGAAACATTTCAGATTTTTTTTTTTTTTTTTTTTTTTTTTTTTTTTTTTTATCTTCATTGAAACATTTTGGGATCTTTTCACTTTGTGCATTGTAGAATTTATTTCAAGAAAAAAAGAACGCTTTCTGTTAGGTCGATTTTGCCAAATGACGATTTGGCAACAGATTTACGTTTGGACAGGCGGTTTTGGTTTGATTCGATTGAAGTATGTGACACTTAGCAAATGATAAGAGGTAATTTCGTTTAACTGTTCTTATCCGGTTTGTATAGTATGTTTCGATGAATAACACGTATGTTTTTAGAGACCATGTTTTTAAATTCGGTTGCTTTGCCAAATTATTCATTCGTTATTACGTTATCATTTAATGTTTACGTAGTCGGATTACTGTACGGGTGTGTAGCTACGAAACTTAACATTTTAAGTGTTTCATAAAAGCACATCTTTTGCAATTAATTAAATGTAGCTTTTTATTATCAATATTTTGTAATCTAAAAAAAAGTATTCCGTGCAGGTTCTGATCGATTAGTTAACGAATATTCCAATGGATTTTGTAATTTCTCCTGCGTGTTATTTTTCTTTAATTATTTTACAGTATTTATTTTTTCGGTAAAAGTATATTTTAGGTTACCCCTTGGCGATTTTTGGCGGTACATGGATACCGAGTTTGTGCAATTCTTATTATTTTGGCTTGCATAACGGCGATTTTTGGACAAGACAAAGAATTGCACAAACTCGCTATCCATGTACACATCGACCTATTTTCACTTTAAAAAAAATCCTCGAATTGCACAAAAATGGCATTGCACTCCCTTGACATTGTCCATGTACACATCGATATATTTTTACTTAAAAAGTCAAAGGAGCACCCATTTCTACAATACAGGCAAACAAAAAATACATAATCTCAATAAACTAAATTTTAAACCAAAAAATAAAATAACATAAAAAAGGGAAAAACAAGTTATACATTTAAGCTCTACAAAATGCAAATATCCACTTACTCTAAGTTCCATTGTCTTTAGTCTGTGGCACACAAAATTCCTTAACAGCATCCAAAAACTTTCTAAAATTATCTGAACTCGAATCTGTATATCAGTGCCGCCACGTCTGAACCTTTCTTCCTACAAACCCATTCAAATCCATCTAAACGGTTTTTACGTTTGATTAAACGCATATCCTTCCTACATACAGGACACTTATAATGGCTACTAAGTAAACCTTCATTTACACACTAGTCAAATAATGCTCTTTTCCCCTTTCATTCCAAATCATACAGAAACTTCAAATTAATCTTACTACATTCAGCCATTCTACTGTCTAAACAATAAAATTAACCCACACCACAAAAGTGCTTACAAAACATCCCATTATTCAAAATTTCCCAGAATCATGCACCCGATTACATCACAATAGGGTTTCCATAACTTAAAACTACTTAGGCTACCATAAAAACTTGGCGATAAATGAAACAACAACTTCGCCATAATACAAGGGGTACCTTAAAGTCTTACTCAAACCATTTTTTCTTAATGGGCACAATGTTAATAAGAAAGATTTGCCTGTAATAGGAGTTTAAATTACCGGTTTGGTATGGTAAGATATCTCATGTTGTTAAGAAACTCTTTAAACATTGGTATGCTTTATTTCTTGCAGCTTTAAAAATTGCTTAGAAACTGTATTCAGGAAAACAATAAAATGAAATATTAAGTGCAAATGCAAAATTTTAGTTTAAATGAAAATGAACTGAACATGAGTTCGATCAAGATGTGATGTATTTAACTTAGCCTTGGAAAAAATTTAATTTCTTGATTTTCTAACATATGATCAGTTTTTAAAATAATATCTTTCAATAAATTTGTATAGTAGTTGATTTCAGTACTTAACTATTTATCCTTAAAAAATAGTCTGTGAGTATGAAAATGCTTTTTATGTTTAGCTTTAAAAATCGTTTCCTGTCTGTATGTGTTTTTAATCATTCAAAAAATAAAGGGAAATATTACAAAAATTACAGGTTTAAGGGAATTTTATCTTTTTATAATTAGTTGATCATTTTAAAATGTTATTGTTCTTTGTTTTTTATAATAAATGTCATAATAATATCTGCAATAAATATAGGAGAAAATTTCTTGAGACACTACCATGAAGGCTGACCGATCTAATAGTGAATGGTTATAAACCATTAAACAACTTTTAAGTCATGTTGATTATCTTATTGCATAGCTTGTGCTATTTGTTAGCATATCTTCCTTTGGTTATACAGTACAAAGTCTTTAATCCGGATGTCCATAATACGGAATGATCTATAATCCTGACCTCAAAACTACAAACGCATATGTACATACATAAAGATATAAGACCTTTATGCATGCGCATAATACATTTATGCATGTGCATTTAATGTATAACAGACGGTATAAGCTAGGCTAAAATTATCTAATTATCTATTTCAGTTAATGTTGCAAGATTGCGTTGTTCCTTAGTCTTCTAATTGGATCCGGCTTATTATATTTTGCAAACTGTTAGAGCAATTTTATAAAACGTAAGCTTGAACTTTTGATTATGTCAAAAAGAGTTTCTGATTCTGGAGCTGCCGAAGGATCTACAAAACGAAAGCATGTTTCGATGTACTGCTTCCGATAGTGAAGAAAGTGACAGAGAGTTTATTGAAAACGAAAAAATTTCGATTGACAAGTTAGTCGGTATTCTCGACACAGCAATTACAGGTCTTGAACAGTGGAACTGAGCAAGAAATTATGTCTGTTTATAGAATTAAAGAGAAAGTATTAGCACAAAAAACGAAGCAACTTAAACAACTTACATTGAAAGAAATGTTTAATAAAGTGAACAAATAAATATTAAGCTTTTTTTTTTTTTAATTTTGATACCCTTTAGGTTATAATTGCTCTTTATTTCGTAAATCACGGTTTCATATTTTTAATTTTATATTTCTGCATGCCATCTTACCAGATTTAAATTGATGATCTATAATCCGGAAACACCCCTAATCTGGAATCGTCGAAATCCCGAGTCCAGATTAAAGACTTAGTACTGTATTTTTATGAAAATGTAATGAAACACTTCATGGGAGGTGGTAATATATTGTAACCTGAAAATTAATTTTTAATATCATTTATTCAACTGAAATTATTGAATTTCTCATGTAAATAATTCTTAGTATTGGAAAATAAAAAAGGTATTCTATTATCTGGTATTGATTCAGAAATGTATATATGTATGCATGTATGAATGTATGTGTTCTTGTATACATGTATATATGTAGGTACGTATGTATGCATGCATATGCATACATACATACATACATACATTTTGGAATCCGATCCCCATGAGAGAAGAGTACCATAAAAAGTTTTGGTTATGGAGCTAATTTAAATCTCTGTTATAGGGGTAACTATCACAGATATAATGAATGTAGCTGTGTGGCTAAACAACACAGAAGCTTTCAGGATGAGAGTGCAAGAAAATATTCTAAAAGTACAGTATTCAAAGCGAGAAACCTTCATATATTTATATGGTTATTTATTTCATATTTTTTGTTTGAAAGATTCAAAGATTTATTGCATTTTAAATCTCAAATTGCTATTGTAAGATTTATATTAGTTTGCAGTTAAATGTATTTTTAATAGGCTTCAGTAACATTATTTTATTTTCCATAATTTGATATTTATTTATAACAATATTGATATTTATTTATAATTAGAAATCTTTTGAAGATGTAGAAGTTTTTTAAAATATTGGCAGAATTTATCCTTAACTTGACGAAGGTTTTATAGAAAACTGTATATTTTAAGAAAACCTTGTTCTTAAAGCAGCTAGAATTTTTTGCAACGTGGGCTGGAACTATGTCATTTAAATTGGCAAAACAAAAATACACTGCTTAATAGTTGATATAATGTTACTGATTTATGCATATTTTCATTCCTGGCAGTGCATTCACATTGTTTCCTTATTTATAATTGCAAGCAATAATGTTTGAGAAAAGAATAACGTTGTCCGTTTCTGAAAATTTTAAAGATTTTTGAGAGCAAGTATTAATTGCAGAACATATATAAGATATCAGTTGAATGTGTATGATTGTGGTGAAACATCTTGAGGCAGGGCAAAAATTGAAAATAGATATTCGCACAGGTAGGTAGACCCAAAACAAGATTTTATTTTATATGCAGCACTTCTTATTAATGGAAACCTGTTCTTTTCCACAAGTTTCCAGAAGTCTACATCTGTGGCATGTGCTTGCAGGATTCTTCAGTTCAACTATTTCCAGCTCGAGGTTTTCCACTACTACGGTAATAATTCTTACAGTTGCTGTTGTGGTTTTAGTTGGACAAAACAGCCACTGGCTTCAGGCAACTGAAATCCTGAAATTGCAAATTGGTCCAGAAGTGTCTCGAGATGGCTGGAAAAATGCAAGGAGCCAAAATTGTTGTCATTCGCCATTTTTTACATGTTTGGAAAATGAACCAGTGACTTCGATCTCATTTGAGACATTTTTAATGTCAATTTGGTTTTGAAAGCTTTCACAGATCCCATCATTTGAACTAGCTCCTTGTCTTTACCCTGAAGATCCAGATTTAAAATGTTGAGTTTCTCAGTGGTATTGGTGAGCAAAGCCAGATCAAGTAGCCACAAAGAGTCACTTAGTTTTTCAATGTCTTTACTGAATTTGTCAGGGTTAGATTGCATGAACTCTTTTATCTGCTCGATTAGAGATAAAAACCTTGATAGAACTTTGCCTCAGGTGAGCCATCGAAATTTTGCATGCAAGATGAGGTTGACTGTTTAATCTTCAGAGTCTTCCAGCAGTGCTTTAAAAAGCCAGTGTTGCAAAGGAGCTGCACGAATAGAATTGATAATCGACGTGGAAAAATTCATAACATGTTTAAATGGAAGTATCTTTGCATACAATGCTTCTTGATGAATATTTCAGTGATAAGAGATGAAGTTTGGAAAACCCTCATCTTCCTTGCACAAAGCGACAAAGCCGTTGGCTCTTCCTGTCATGGCAGGTGCTGTGTATGGGGTAATCCCGATAGCTTTTTAAACGGCAAGCCAATTTCTGCCGAAAACATCTTAAAAATGTTGTAAATGTCCTCTCTTTGCGTTCTCATCTTAAAAGGCAGAGTTTTTAATAATTCTTCTGTAACAGAAAAGTCATTAAATACCATTCTTATCATAACAGCAAGCTGCGAAATGTTGGAAATATCCATGAGCTTATCAAATTGGAAAGAAAACCATTCATATGTTTCCAAGTCTCTCTTCAACTGAGATTGAATGTTATCAGAAATTGCTTCTATTCTCCTTAAAACAGTTCTGTCTGATAATTGAAGGTCCCGAATCGCATTGATGATTTCACACTTGGTTAGAGAATTTGTCGAAGAGGCTTTCGGCACCTGCAAGAAATGCTTCCTTCAGCAACTCACCATTTTGAAATGGTTTTTTCTTCTTCACCAGAAAGTGAGCAATTTTAAACGAAGCCATTGTTGCATTTTTGGACTTTGAAACTGGCCTAACAATTACTGGTTGCTGCACAAAAAGCTTCAATTTCAGCTCATATACTTTCTTCTTCCAAATTTCTAAATCCTCTGTGTAGTTTGTTGCAAATGTTCTATGATTCATCTGAAAGAGACGTTCCACAATACTTGAGGATGTTGAGCAAGCCTTGATGCACCACTAACACTGGCATTGCCGCATTTTTTCACCATGCTCAAAGAAGCATGGTGAAGAATGCGGCTCAAAAGTTGCCCTTTGCATCTTGTTAAAATACCTAATATAATTGTGTCATACAGTCAAGTCAAGGTTCAACTCTGACCTGCAGTCCCCTCCACTTTTGTCACTCTTTGTCAGCCCTATTTGGTGTGGTGAGCATTGTAATATCGTGCCCCCAATCTTAAAACTTTGTTGTCCTGTTAACCTGCAAGAACATGTGTCGGGGCTGCTAGGCCCAGTCGTTACAAAAACATAATACAGAAATTAATCCTTTCGGTTAAATTTTCCGACTTTCTCAGTAGCTGTGTTCAAGGTCATGTACGTGTCATTCACAGGCATTTCCGGAATTTAACTCTCTCTCTTTTTTTTTCATTTTTCAGAAATTTTATACCCGGGCCTGCCTGGGCAAAGGCATGCATTTGCGTTGTCATTTAGTTAGCACCGTCGTTTTAAACCGGACAGAAGCAATAAGAAGGAATAAATTATGACACGCCATCCCCCTCGATGTTTCTGAAACCCAATACAAGACCAACTGTTTCTGACCCTTCCTCTGCTGAAACCCGTCTACATGCAATCCCAAGAAAGACTGTTGCAGAAAGAAAAAAAAAAAGTTACCGAAGCTTGACGGACACTATGCAAGGTTGCTTCAGGTCGAGTACATTAGTCAACCTGAGTATGCAAGGTCGCCTCGGGCACTGGGTTGAGTTTTCAGTTGTAGGGTCTTATGTTAATTAACAAAGATAACTCTATTAGAGTAGTGTGAAACATACACATTTAGCCTTGGATGACCTTCACTGGCAAGATGAAGATAATTAACTATTTCCAAGCTTAGAAAGCTGTTCCAGAATCTAGATAGCACTTTGGCCCACATTCAGCAGTGCTTGCTGATCCCACTTTTGCTCTCCATCAATTAAGCATTCCGGGCATCCTTTAATATAGTATTAAAGGCCATAACTGGAATTTAAAGCCAATTTTGACTTCATAAAGATGCCGTCATCTTAGATTCTGTCTTATGCAAGATGGGTAAAAGTGGCTAACGCGGTGGTTTTTCTCGTAAGGCTATAAGATCTTATTTAGTTATCATGCCCTGTGTCTAGATCTCAAAGTTTAACCTGGTGAATTTTCACACAGGCCTGAAGATGAATACAACAGGGAAAAGGTGCAAAAATCCCTTTTTATTTATCACATTTCTTTAACCCTTTGCGGCGCACTATACGTTAGCGTTGGAATTTCAACAAAAAAAAGTTGTATGCAGTCTATTTAGTCCTAATGGAGTATACAGGTAAAATTTTGTAAAAGATGCACTTACCATTTTAATTCTGTAGGTGTTCCATGAGGTGGAACACTGCGCAGCCAGAGCTTTTAAAAGTGCGACTAAGCGAACATTGCAGTGAAGTACGAAAATGAGTAGGAGCGTTTGTATAAGAATGAAAAAACTCTGTATTATAGCTGTATACATGGTTTCCTGGATATACACAATATTCTTGAATATATACGGATAAATGAGATAAAAATCTATATACAAAAATATTTACAAATTTTCAGAAAGAGTTAGACCTCTTCGCGCCATTTATGGAAAATTAATACAGTCAAAAGTCGTTAATTCGGACACCCATAATCCGGAATGATCTATAATCTGGACCTCAAAGCTAAAATCTTTTTGTGCATGCGCCACGTTGACGTATGCTCATAGGCATTTTACGTGTGCGCGCAAGACATTTACGACTGCGCATATGCGTCTGCGCAAGCGCAGAATACGTTTTCGTGCGCGCGTTTAATGTATAACGAATGGTATAAGCTAAAATTATCTATTTCAGTTTATGTTGATTATTGCGTTGTTCCTTAATCTTCGAGTTGGATCTGGCTTATTATTTTTTGCAGTAAGAGCAATTTTATAAAAGTAAGCTTGAACTTTCGATTATGTCAAATAGAATTTCCGATGCTGGAGCTCCCAAAGGATCTAGAAAACGAAAGTATGTTTCGATGTCCATCAAACAAAAAACGAATTGCTACAAAAAATGGATAAAGGTATATCCTTTGTTTATCTAACCGTTCCGAAATCTGTTTATCAATTTCACGCTGCTCTGCACGGGGGGGGGGGACATCGTGGCTCGCAATAAACTGGAAGTTGATCTGTCAGCACTATCGTTATCTTCAGGGCAGATGTTTTTATTTTATTCGGCTTATAATTCCTTACTAAATGTAGTATTTAATCTCAATGGACTCCGTCTTTGATATGATTTAAATCAAATTCCTCATCATTATAAATATCACGAATACAAATCAAATAGTTTTCTGGTTGCAATTTTGTAATTTCGGCTATGCATAAGGTATGCATGTGCGCGTTGAAAGAAATGTTTAATAAAAAAAACAAATAAATATTAAGCTTCTTTTTTTGTAAATTTTGATACCCTTTATATCATAATTGCTCATTATTTTATAAATTACGGTTTCATATTTTTAATTTTATAATTTCTGCGTGCCATCTTACCAGATTTAAACTGATGATCTATAATCCGGAAAAATCGATAATCCGGAATCGAAGTCCCGACGAGTCCGAATTAAAAGACTTTTTGACTGTAATAAAAAAATTAACTACGATTCATATTGACAATAAAGAAAAATAAGCCTATGATATATACGTACACAAAAAGTATATACACAATTATTGAAAATAAGCGGGAATGAGACTAAAAAGCGACAGCAAAAAATTCGCGCAGGTGTAAGTACAGATGAGTCAAGCTACTAATAAAATTCCCGCCTAAAAACTAGTCCCAAAAAATTCGAAATGCCAATATTAGAGCTTTC